GCGGGTGGGGAGGACAGAGGGGGAGAGTGGGGGGCCGCAGGGGGTGGGGAGGGCAGGGGGTGAGGGGAGGGGCCCCAGGGGGGACAGAGAGGGCAAAGGGGGTTGAGGGCAGTCGGGGGGGGGGCGAGGCTGGGAGAGGCAGCCAAGGGGCTGGGGGCAGCCTGAGGATCTGGGGGAGTTGGGGGCAGCCAAGGGGGCTGGGGGCAGCCGGAGGCACCATGCCCAGTCCAGGCACTGGCTGACGCTGGCTCCTTGCCTAGTTCTGCCTGCTGGAGACACTGGTGACGGCCATTGTGGACGAGGTGGGGAATGACTGGATCATCCGCAGGAAGATGTTTGTGACGCTGGGCATGGCCGTGGTGGGCTTCCTGCTGGGCATCCCACTCACCACCCAGGTACGGGCACGGGGCTGCCCTGGCGGGGAAGCAAGAGGCCTCGCCCTGCTGGGCCCCCTTCAACCCGCCCCCACTGTCCCCTCAGCACCCTTCCTTCCTGCCCCCTCGGTCTGTCTGCTCCCCACCCATGACCCCAGAGTGGGAGTGTTACGGACCCTGCCCAGCAGCGTAGCAGAGAGGGAGCTGGAGACATGGGCCTGGCGTGAGGCCTGAACCGAAGCAGGGGGCAGGCCGAGCCTGGCTGATGGAAAGCAGCGAACAGAACTCCGGGTGTTGGCGATACCAGCCCGACTCCTGCCAGGTTCGGTGTGTGCAGGCAGGCACCGGCTGGTCCCCGTCGTACGCCCACTGCATCTCCTCCCCTCCCTTCCCAGAGGGCCATGCCTGTGTGATGCTGGGCTGGGTGGCGATTCCCCCTGCTGGGTGCCTTGCCGGTGGGGATGGCGGTGCTGGGCTATGAGAGCGGTGCCTGGCGGCAGTGGTGGTGCTGAGTGGGGATGGTGGTGCCAGGGGGCAGTGCCCACGCCAGGTGGGAAGGCTGTGCTGGGTGGTGGTACCAGGCAGCAGTGTCAGGCAGGGATGGTGGTGCCAGGCGGGGATGGCGGTCCCCAGACTGTCTCACTCTGACCCCTGTGACGGTGCTGCCCGTGGGAGCCAGCTGAGGTCACTCAATCAGGGTGAACTGCAAACAGAACGGGGCCGACAAACCCCAAACGCTGGTGGATCTTCCAATACTTAGATTTACCAACCAGCACAAAACAGCTCCTGTCGTACCTCACTGGTTACTCAGAAGTCCAAACAACACAGTCCCCTTAACGTGCCCAGCGTCCGGCCTCCGTCCAGACACACCTGTTAGACATATGATAATGAATTCTGAAAATCTTATCTCATCATATAAAAGAAAAGGTTCTTCCAACCCCAAAGGATCAGCCACACACCCAGGTTCAATTATAACTTAGATATGACCCAAAATACACACTTAGAGCCAATTCTTATTAACTAAACTAAAGTTTATTAAAAAAGAAAAGAGAGAGAGAAATGGTTAAAAGATCAATCTACAGACAGACTTGAATTAAATTCTTGAGGTTCGGATACATAGCAGAGATGAGCTTGTAGTTACCAAAAGTCCTTTTAGAAATAGTCCAGAGGTTATAGTCCAATGTCCATATTCAGGGTGACTCCAGTCAGTGACTGGGGATCTCAATCCTTGTGGCTTAAGGTTTTCCCCTCTTGAAACCCAAAGCAGATCTGAGATGAAGCAGGATCGTGTCCCAGGGTTTTTATACATTTCCAGTAGCCTTTTGGCCTGAGAAAACATTAGGCTCAACTCTCCTTCCAAACACCCTGGCAATTAGCACAGGGTAATTTATCCATTAAACAGTTCAGATACAGGTTACCCCAACCGTCAAAGAGACAATAATACTATTTCCCTCAAGTATCATCATAACTGTTAATATTCCTTTTTTGATCTTTGAATTAAAGCTATAGCAATAGACAAGACTTGTTTGCTGACATCACAAGCCCTGAGCGCACAGCTCCCCTTCTATCTCTAACAATGCTGGCTGCATGTCAAAGCTCTGTTCATTTACACATCTTCTTAACCAGTCTCTCGAGCTGGGCCCTGGGTCAGGCCAGGCTGGGAGTTTCTGGCCCTGTCCCCTGTCCGTGCGCTATGACATCACACTCCTAACGTCACCCCTGCTCTCCCCAGGCTGGCATATACTGGCTCCTGCTGATGGACAATTACGCTGCCAGCTTCTCCCTGGTCATCATCTCCTGCATCATGTGCGTCTCCATCATGTACATCTACGGTACGTTCCCCATCTGCTGGCGCCATGGCAACGGTGGCCCATAGCCTCCGCCCCGCGATCACAGGTGGGGTCCCTGGCCTGTCAGCAGCCAATGGGAGCCCAGCTGATGCAGACACCAGAGCCACCAGGAACAGACTGCGTTCTGATTGGCTGGGCCACAGGCCCAAAGAGCAGCTCTCAGTGCAGTGCCGGACTCCTGGGTTCCAGCCCCAGCCCTGGGAGGGGAATGGAGTCTAATGGCCCCGGGGAAGGGAGCCCGGACTCCTGGGTTCTATCCCAAGCTAAGA